TGTGTGACTGTAGCAATATCGGACATAAGAAGTTTCCTATTCTCTAGCAGCGTTTCAGGCATGGAATGCTCTGTCTGCGGACATCATCATGTCCCCACCCGTGAATATCTTTAAACTGAAGCCTGACCGGTAGAGTCATACGCACCACCACGACATCAGAAACTAACACATGGTTCCGTTGTATCTGCAACCCGAAATTAAAATGTCATAAAAACACTACTTTCTTTTTTCCAATAACATTCTTTGTCTAATTTTTTCATCAAGTGCCGGTGTTTTTATTTGCCATGTTATTGCAAACACAGTGTAATTTGAAGGCGTCCATCTACCTTACCTTTCTAACGTTCGTATAGGTGGCTAAACAGAGTGCATGTTCCTCCTTGAGGTAAATCTGCGCGCATCTACTGGTCTGCACTCCTCCACACAGGGACAACGTACACGTCAATAGCACTGAAAGGGCAAGCCCGGGTGTCCTACACAGTCACCTCAGACGAAAAAATGAGGACAAGGGTAAGCTAATATTCCCTTATCATCTACTTATTGCTTATTTCTCAGCCGCTGACGCAATTATAGGATCTATAAATTTTAGTTGATTTTGGAGCATACTGTTCACTAGTTAGACAGAAGACGTCTCCTAAAATCTCAGGATAAAGTTAGATACTGCAATAGGTCAAAAGTTAGCCTGAAAACGGCAAATGACACCATGCGGCCTACAGAAATGGCAGAACTTGAGCGATCACCTAATTACGTTTCGTTGACCAATAAGATGACACAGCGTGGGGGATAAAGTTGAAAGGGCGAAAACCAAGGAAATCGTTGATTTGCTCCGGACCTCAAACATATAGCTACTTGGAATAGCAGAAACCCAGATTTTCACTCCCTGCTGGGACCGAGGGCATATGAGTAGACGTTCTGTAAACACCAAGGTAGAGTTACATACTGTAGTAAGTCTATAGGTAGTCTACAGCCTGCAAACGTTATGACATATATCCAATGCAGAACTTGTGCTTTTATTTAATAACGATTAATTTAACCAATAAGCTAATCACTTTGGCTCTTACAAGTTGGGAGTGCATACTGAGTGCACATCGACTTCTTAAAAAGCTTACACATGCCGTCTTATAATATACTATTTAATGATCTTAGTAAGCATAATACTATAATTATCCCTCTAGAAAAGGCAGGCACTCCTAGCAGCAGTATTCTTGTTCTCGCAGTGCGAACCTAGTAGAAGCGGACAGCCTGATGGAAGAGTTGAGGGAGTGAAAACCAAGGCGAGCACGTCTGTACTCAGAGCCCAAACATTTACTTACTCGGGGTAGTTTAAGCCCAGATTCACACTTCTTGTTAAGATCAAGGGGATGAGCCCCAGCGATGGCTTTGATTTGCATTCCCTCTGAAAAATGGTAGCGTCGATTTTAGTACCAGTATGACTAATGCGCAGCTACACTGCTAGCTAGTAGTAGAAGAGGAAGTAGCCGTATCCGTCTCGGCCTTATGGAGCCTGTCTTTGACAGCTACTGAAGTTGAGTGAGGGTAGATAGCGCGGTAGTACGCGCACAAAGTCTACTGTCACTTAAAAATAAGTAAGGTCTTATTTTTTGGTTTGCATTGGGGAAAGCGGCCAACACCGGATCCAACCTTGCCTTCTTGATCCGTGTCGAGGGTTGAGATTGCGGTTGGCGCTAACTACGTCTGCTATCTTTTTAAACTACCCCCCGTAGCCAGTCATCGTTGCTGTGCCAAACTGTAAGGGCACATATTGGACTTCACCGCAAATTGATGTTCAAACCCGCATGTTTCTCATATAGCAAGCAAACACATCTAATTGCAAATGAGCTGTACCAAATTCTAAGAATGCCATAAAAACAGGCTGCGCTGTGCTCGTTTTGAAGGAATTCCAAGCAACTACTTCATGCTGACCACCAGGTTAAAAACATACAAACTGCTGCGCCAGTTGTTGGCAGAGGTGGGCTGCTCTCTGTTTATGTCTCTGGTGATGAATCCGTAACGGATCTCGAAACGGAAGGCGAACAAAAGTGTTGTCCCAGCGCTCCAGTCGTCTTCTTCTCAGAGAGGCTCTCTCTTTAGCACCGACTACCGTTAATTGGCTTGAAATGATTTCGGTGTGTTATCCAAAACCACAGCCGGAAAGCAGTTATTCTAACGCCAATAACTTGAGGAGCCCAGACAACTTCTTTGCCAATATATTGCTATTAAATAACTTACACCAGATGAAGTACGTTAATTATCCTCACGCAACTTGGATGCAATACCTTGACGGCATATTAATACTGATTATTTTTTTATGATATCAAATAATATCAGATTTCTTATTTGAATGACGAAACTTGAATCATTGCGCACAAAATGGTTCTTGCAAATTTTGATAGTTGACATTTTACGAAGGCATATACCCAAATATTTTAAGGATCTGTCTATAGAACAAGAACTGTGCATTATTAAGTACATGTTTTTGTTAAAGCAAAATCACCCATTCATGCCTCAGCATTGACATGCAGTCGTAGTATGAAGTGCCTGGCAATCCAAAACTTTTAACTCTTCGTGTTGGCCTAAAACAGCAATTGTTAGGTCTCTTTAAGTCCTCAAGTGACAGGGAATTTTGGATACGTTTGAATACGTGGCCTCAAGAAGCTGTCTT